TCGAAAATTGAACGTAAAATGAGAGATCATTGAAAAAAACATATTTGCATGGTTTTTTGGAGGTGTCCTTAAATTTATGCTCGGTAGTGTACATGTTTCTCCAAATTATGTTTTACTGAAATTGAAAAATCAGCTGAGCCATAAAAATTGTGCTGGATTTTATACTTTCATCGCTGAGCCTGCTGGTTTTTGTCTATGCACTTAAAATTAAGAATGCGTTTTGAAAAAGTATGGATCATTTTTATGAGATTACAATGCTTGAGAATGGATAATAACAGTAACTGCATTTGTTGCTTCTGAATGTTTGGCTCCCGTTTGACAGTTCACACTGGCTCCCAAGTGACAATCAGATTGAGTGGGTCCGCAGTACTCAGGTGATCAGGTTCACAAGCGTGTTGTGAAAGCGCTTAAGCGGAATCCCAATGAATCTGTCCAAGTCTTTCGTTGAGAGAGCCAAGGGCCGGGAGGGACTGCATACGTACAAAGTGCAGAAGGCTCCAAATCGCGATGAACGGCAAAATACGGTGGGAAAGTCACGGACCCGGAAACTGTACACTCAGATGCTGACGAAGCCTCATTGTCTCATCATGGATGATGAGACTAACGTCAAGGCGGACTTCCGGCAGCTTCCGGGGCTACTGTTCTTCACCGCCCAGCACAAGTTTGATGTTCCGGAGGAAGTAAGGAAGCAGAAACTTTCAAAGTTTGCCAAGAAATACATGATTTGGCAAGCGATCTGCTCATGTGGCAAACAGAGTGCGCCGTTCGTGACTGTGTTTACCGGGACTGTAAACGGGGAGATCTACCTCAAGGAGTGTCTACAGAAGCGTCTGCTTCCTCTGTTGAAGCAACACGAGGGCTCTACGATCTTCTGGCCGGATCTAGCTTAGTGCCACTATTCTAATGTTGTCCTGGAGTGGTACGAAGCCAACGGGATCACTTTCGTACCCAAGGATGCATAACGAAGTTAACATTTCAGCTCGCATCCCTCTCAGCATCAAAATAAATATGCTGGAGCTCAGCTTATTGATGACTCTTGATGGAGCTTTTGGCAAGCCTGCCCATACAAAGTCCCATCGAGGGGTGCTAAGATGGTGATTTTAGCTCATGTAATCGCACTTATTTAAAATAGTTCCAGTGTACCTGGATTTCGGTTCAATTTTTAATGCAGATTACGAATATGCTTTACCACAATACCCTTAAAGAACCCAAGCGATCTGTTTAAAATAACAACTCTATTTTTCATTCATTGACCACCCGAGTGAACTGGTTAAGTAGAATATCCGCAATGGTGATGCAGTGAGCTTTACGTCTCAAAATGTTGAGATGATTGGTCGAATCGAACACAGGCCAAATGACGATTGATCGAACGAATAGTTGGCCTAAATGGGTTAATGGGCCAAGTTTTGGTAAATGTTGAATTGATTTTAGAAATTGTTTGAGAAATTGAAAAAAAAAAATGATTATGAGAATACAAATTGGTATCTCGAACCAGTAAAACATTTCAAGATCTCGGACTAAGAAAAAGCAAAAGATTATTATTAGATTATTGTACTAACAATCAACAATTGACGAACTATAAGGGTGCTACTATACGGTTAATGTACTTCAACTTCGATATCATCAGTGCCAATTATTAAATAATGTAAATTAGTTAATTTTCCAAGAATGCAATCATTTAATGACTCAAATAAATCGAAATATATATCTATAGTCTATCACCAATTCACTTTATCATTACTACAAAATCCAGTAACATTTACTTGCTAATTCCCGTTACTTTTTAAGTGGTGCCAATTTGAAGATCATCGCAATAAAATTTACGTGAAAATCAATTGATTTCTATGTGAATCACTCAAATGTAATCTCTCCCCCAAAACACGTAATATTCACGTGAAAATTATGATGGAAAATATCAACGTGCCTATTCAGGTGAATTTAACGTAACATTTTTTTTGCAGTGTAGGCTTGGACAACTTTCAAGATCTCAATGTAAAATAGTTTCAGTTTTTAGAGTTTCAAGGGAATTCTGAAGAGAATACTAAGGAACGAGAAGAGTTCCAAAGATATTTTCTTTTAAGTTTAAGGAGAATCTCGTGATTATTCTGAGCAGAATTCCAAGGTAATTGTGAAAACAAAATTGCATTTCATTTTAAATAGGTTAATATTGAACCATTTTGGAAAAGTAACACATAAGTTGATAAAGTTGAATTTTCATGGCGATTTCAGAAGTTAATTTTTTACAAACATTATACCGTGGTAGAGGTAACCATAGCTGCAACACAAAAACAACTTGAGTGCTGTAAAAATCGATAGAACTGTTTCAAACACATCGTCGGTACATGAGCGAGACGGCGATCATCTCTTTTTGCCAGTGGTGGCGGGGGGAATACCCCTCACCATCCCTCTCCAACAGGGGAGTTTGGTAAAGAGAGATGATCAAACCGATTTGTACCTTCCTAAAGTTGTCCTTGCTCGCTTTATACTCTCTATATGAAATTTTCACACTGCCGTAGTCTAACGGAACTATCTCCTCATCTATCGTATAACAATTACCACTTTAGTCTTTTATTTGAAATTACCATCTTCAACTACATTATACTAAGATGAATCGAAAAATAAAATTACAGCTTACGACCATGTATTAAGGTTTATTGCTTTTTCCTAGTTGGTTATTGGTTTTCCCGGTTTTCTCGGTTACTTTTCAAATTTCTGTCTGTTTACCGGCTTTTCAGGTTTCCCGGCTCGCTGGCCACCCCTAAATTTTACAGTGGCTTTTTCTCAGAGCATTTTTTATCTTTTCTATTTTATCTATTTCGTTTACTTGGCAGGCTCAATCACATTAGCTTTACGGAGCCGATAATTCATTGTTCATGGTTTGTAACAAAATTCACTTATTTTTACGAAGGATAGGATCAGGGGAGGAGCGTGGGGATTTCGTTGTCTCATCAGAGCGTTGTTGCCAGTATGAACGGTAGTGCGGGTATATATTTGTCTGGAGTTCGACCGGCTATGGTGCCCAGTGGGCGACGATGGGACTCATTGAGGCGGAGGGACAAGACAAACAAAAACTAATAAATAGGAATTTAAATTTTTTACTAGACATTTGCAGAATTGTTTTCTTATAGATCATTTAATTTTTTTCGCAGATCAAGAATTTTTTTTATTTAGTAGTTATGCGCAAACTTGATCAAGATATACCGATTTCAAGCAATGATTATTTTAAAATCCAAAACCCATTTTTAAGATATATTCTTGAAAAAATACCCATTATGTGCAAAATACCATGTCAATCGCAAAGAGTCATCATGTGCAGCCCTTGTCTATTAGGAATCGAAATGCTCTATAAGCCTTTTCTTCATCTATTCTCATAAACAACATAGACCACACATTTTTGGCGGTGACGTTTTCTATTATTCCAATTTGGTATATTTTATAAAATCAATTCTCCCTCATTTGTTTTGCTGTCGTTAACTCGATGGTAATCCAGACTACTTCTATCACTTTTCTTATACGTTTTTTAAAAGTTTACAACTCGATATCGTCCCTACAGGCAAAACAAATGACATGAACATCAAATGTAAGTGTTGATTGTTTACATCCTATGAAATTTTTTCTAACAATAAATGTAATGACAGTTCTTAGTAATATGACGTACAAGTAAGTTTTTCCAGGATAAATATTTTCGTATTAAACTTTCACGAGATATTTGTATATCCAGACTACATAACAGAATCTGTTCAAGTGGTGAAATCTTTAAAAGAATCTTACTTTTCCCGGTTCAGGTCTCTTAAATATCGAGTTAGGGAGAATTGACTGTATAACGAATGGTGAAACGATCCTCTTCTCCATACCGGTGTCGGTGCAATAAATTGAACGCCTTGTCAGTTGTCACACTCGAAGAAAAAGGCAAACAAACAAACAACCGTGGAATTCATCATTTTCCCTGAGGGTAAAGTGCATACATTTCGCATCCCAAAAAAGAATTGTCATCCCCCAGCAGAGCCGTATGTGCTCTATGCAGTGGTTTGCAGCACGTTTGACACTTCCGCCGAACCACGCCGACGCCCACAGGACAAAACAATCCTCTCGGCAACGAGTGCTGGCTGGGGTGTATCGCTGTTTACGTAGATACGTAGCAACAACTCCAGAGCAGCGCAAACAACAAGGAGTAAATAAAAGAGTCCATTAGACTTTGGTAGCGGTAGCAGCTTTTTTTTTTGTCCTGTACTCAACGGCTTGGAAATGTACGACCAATGAAAATGGGAAAGCTTTTTCTCGAGAGCAAATAAAATAAACTACAACACAACAACAGCTGAGTGCATACGGGGGTGTTGTATACAACAGCACAAGCAAACGTCGATGCCGACGACGCCGACGCTTTGTCTGGCTACACAGGCTGCGAGCGTCCGCGGCGTCGTTGGTTGGCTGGGCCGTCGGACGTCTTCTTCGCAACCACAGCCCACAGCTAGCAGTTCTGATGATGATGATGATGATGATGGTGAAAACAGAGTGCGATGTTGTACAAACCGTCGCCCTACATGTTGCCGGATACGCACTTTGGTTAGGATAGCGCGCCTATCGCGCAAGGGAGGCGTCGTGGTGGAGAGCTTTGTTTTCAAATGGAAGAGAGTATCACAGTTTCTGTTAGTGCAAAGAAGCTACAGAAAACGAAAAGAAGGCAAAGAAATGGAGCCGCAATATGAAGTCTTTGTTGGGTAGCATATGTTTTGATGGTTTCTTTTTCGGTTCGATAATGTTTCTGCACGTAACGTGCGAAAAGGTAAAACATATGCTTTCCCATGTCGAGGACTGGACTGAATGAAGTCATGTTCTCTTAAATCTTAAATACAATATCTAGGATGGGGTTCTGCATAATACTGCATATATTATTGTTCCTGAAGAAGCGACCAGTGCAGTGTACCTAGTTGAGTATCATGTTTCATATGATTGTAAAGAACTTAGCACCTAATTATGGTAGATTTCCTTTCGACACTCACCTTTCTTTGTCTCTCTTACGTAGCCTGGAAATAGGAAAAAAAGAGAGGGATTAAAACTATTATTCCAACGGAAATGAGCTTTTCAGCATACGCCAATACAGCCACATAAAAATAGAGCCCACAACCCGAGAAAGCTTCTCGCCCGCCCACCAGCCAACAACCAACACACCAACCAACCAAAGAACCATTCAAACACACTTAATTTCCTCTCCACTCCCGCATGTCCTGTGGAAAAGGGAGAACACACGTTTGCATGTGGGAAACCCGAACGACATTAAAAACAATTTATGTACTATTTTCCACCTTCCACTCAAGCGAGCTCACATTTAACTCCCCACTGGGATTCCATTTTCCAGCTGCGGTGCAGCAGCAGAACAGTGGCGGATTGAAACAAAACCGTCCTAAGGTTCTTTGTTCTGTTGGCACAAGGAACAGGGTTCACTTTCATCCTTTGGGATACCTTCGCTCGCTCGCTCTCATGGGAAGTCAATAATGGACTGCAGTCTACAGTCTGACCGAGCGCAACCACTTGACTTGGGTTCCCGTCGTATATTTCAACGCGACCCGTACGGTATAGCAATCTAGAAGAAGTATCAGTTCCGAGAGAAAGAGAGGCGTTAAACCATTACGAGAGTGGAGCCATTATTTCGATTACTTTATAGTATTGTTGGAATAAAAGCGACTCCTCTGAGGGTGTACTATACGTGAGCATAGGTCGTCATTTGTTCCGCGTGTTTGAACCCGTACCCGTAAGAAACCGCATACGGGGAGATGGGGGAGAAGGCTTCCTATTAGTGCGTTCGAACGCTGTTATGGAAAAACAAGGTTCGGACAACGTTTGTTGGTGGGTCAGTGTTAGCATAAAATCATAAATTTTGGCTCACTGGTAGAAAAAATTGCAGAAGAAGGAAGTCAGCCTGGTTTTGGATTTGGGTTAACGGAGTAGATTACTTCTTTTTTTTTCAAGGTTATAAACACCCTTACCGCCCTAACGCTTGCTCTGAAACGAATTCAATTGTATAACTATTTTAAATGAGTGTGAAGATAATTTCCAACCCGAAAACATGCATTGTGTTGGAAATTTCGGGTTAGAATCCGCTACCTCCAGTATGGTGTGCTTTAATATTTCTGTATGCAGAGATATCTGCTCCCTTCAAGCAAAATTATGTTAATTAATATAGCATGAGCACGAACATGATTGACTGCTACTCCGTTATTCGCAGATCACCTGTAATTACACAAAGAACCAACCATAGAAACTAGACCTACAAGATCTACGGAAAACAAATCAAGGAAAAACCACCATAGGAACCCAAGAATATGCTCTGCTCAGTAAGCACAAACGGTCGCTCTAAGGCCACCGAGCCACATATCACATCAGACCTCTTATGATCGAGTTATTGTTGCAACCATGCGGTCACCAGTGAGCCCAAATACACGAACTCATCGACCACCTCGATTTCGTCACCGTCAATCTGAACTCGGGGTGGGAGGCTAACATTGTCTTCCCTAGAACCTCTTCCTTTCATATATTTTGTCTTTGATGCGTTGATGGCAAGTCCAATCCGCCTAGCTTTAGCCTTCAGTCTGATGTACGTTTCCGCCATCGTCTCAAAGTTCCGTGCCATGATGTCAATGTCATCGGCGAAGCCAAGGAGCTGGATTGACTTCCTGAATATCGTGCCACTCTTGTCTATCCCAGCTCTTCGGATCACACCTTCTAACGTGATGTTGAACAGCAGACACGAAAGTCCATCACCCTGCCGTAGCCCCCTTCAAGATTCAAAGGGACTCGAGAGTGTCCCCGATACTCGAACAACGCACATCACTCGATCCATCGTCGTCTTGACCAATCGCGTCAGTTTTTCCGGAAGTCCGTACTCGTGCATAATCTGCCATAGCTGATCTCGATCGATTGTGTCGTATGCGGAAATCGATGAACAAATGATGTGTGGGCACGTTGTATTCGCGGTATTTCTGCAGAACCTGCCGAATCGCGAAAATGTGGTCCGTGGTAGCGCGGGCACCAAGAATCCCGCCTGGTATTGCCCCACGAACTCTCTTGCAAATGGTGACAGTCGGCGGCATAGAATTTGGGAGAGTACCTTGTAGGCGGCGCTCAGCAGTGTGATCGCGCGGTATTGCAGTCACTTGTCACCCTTTTTGTAGATTGGGCATCCACTCCTCCGGTAATATCTCCTCCTCCCAAATCTTGACAATTACCCAGTGCAGCGCTCTAGCCTGTGCTTCACCACCGTATTTTAATAGCTCACTTGGTAGTTGATCTACACCAGTTGCTTTGTTGTTCTTCAGCCGACCGATCTCCTCCTCAACTTCTTGAAGATCAGGGGCCGATAGCCTGTCGTCTTCTGCGCGTGCTCCAAGGTATGTTGCCGTGCCACCTTCTTTTTCTGCTGCTTCATCGTTAAGGTGCTCGTCATAGTACTGCTTCCACCTCTCAATCACCTCACACTCGTTCGTGAGAAGGTTACCGTCCAAGTCCTTGCACATATCGGCTTGCGGCACGTAGCCTTTGCGCGAACTATTTAGCTTCTCGTAGAACTTTCGTGTGTCGTTTACGCGGTACAGATTTTCCATCGCCTCGCGATATCGGTCTTCCTGCTGACGCTTCTTCCTTCGGAAAACCGAGTTTTGTCTGTTCCGCGCTTGTCTGTATCGCTACACATTCAATCTCGTGCAGTGTTGCAGCATTCTCGCCCGTGCTGCATTCTTCTCCTCTACTAACAGTTTGCATTCGCCGTCAAACCAGTCATTTCTTCGGTCCGGGATTGCAGTACCTAGTGCCGCTGCAGCGGTACTACCTATGGCGGAACGGATATCCCTCCAGCCATCTTCAAGAGAAGCTGCGCCAAGCTGCTCTTCCGTGGGTAGTGCAACTTCCAGCTGCCGCGCGTAGTTCTGGACAACTCCGGCGTCCCGTAGTTGCTCAATGTTGGGTCGCGGCGTTCGACTTCGACGTGTCTTATGCACCGTCGAGAGTTTTGAGCGCATGTATACTGCAACTAGGTAGTGGTCCGAGTCTATGTTCGCACTGCGGTACGTGCGGACGTTGATAATGTCGGAGAAGAATTTCCCGTCGACTAGAACGTGATCGATTTGGTTTTCAGTGTTTTGGTCAGGTGATCTCCAGGTTTCTTTGTGGATATCCTTGCTGGGGAAAAAGGTACTTCGAACTACGTTTCCTCGAGAGGCTGCAAAGTTCACGCATGGTTGGCCGTTGTCGTTCGATTGGCCCGTTTACCGGTCTATACATTGCCTCCCGTCCTACCTGAGCGTTCATGTCGCCGATGACGATTTTGACGTTCCATTGCAAACAGCCGTCGTACACCTGCTCCAGCTGCGCATAGAACGCTTTTTTCTCGTCGTCGGGTCTCCCTTCGTGTGGGCAGTGCACGTTGATGATACTGTAGTTGAAGAAACGGCTCTTAATCCTCAACTTGCACATCCTCGCGTTGATCGGCTGCCAACCAATCACGCGTTGGCGCATCTTACCCAGCACTACAAAGCCGATTCCCAGCTCGTTGGTGGTGTCACAGCTCTGGTAGAAAGTAGCCGCTCGATGCCCGCTTTTCCATACCTTTTGTCCCGTCCAGCAAAGTTCCTGCAGTGCTACGACTTCGAAGTTGCCTGGTTGAAGTTCGTCATAGATTAACCTATCGCAGGCTGGGAAGCCGAGCGATTTGCAGTTCCATGTTCCGAGTTTCCAATCGTAGTCCTTATTTCGTCGCGTAGGTCTCGCCGGGGGACCATCGTGCACAGCTCTGTTTAGAGTCCCTCGCTGGCACTAAGACGGTGATCAGCCGCTCCTAACATGGATGGAGAACAGACGCCGTTTTGAGCCGCACCTCCATGGTGAACAGACGCTCGGGTTTGGTGAAGCATTTCCTGTATCATCGTACTATGGTTACCGCGCCAGTGTTGGCGTCGCACCTCTTCACTTTGCTATTGCCGGACTGGCAACAATGCCCAGGCTACGCCACCCAGCTGTGTCCATGTTTTAGCTGATAGTCTTTTGTTATCATATGACTCGGGGAGGCGTGAAGTAGGAACTTCTGAGGACCAGGGCTAGGTATTCCGCTCCTTCCAGGTTGTCAACTCACCATTTTGTAGCCCAACACACGACGGTATTCAGATGTGATGCGATAGAATGTTTAATGGCAACTCAACATTTAAACTCTGCTGCTATCGGGTTTCATCGATCTGTGGGAAGATGGTCAAAGTAGTAATGTGCGGTAACGATCAGCTCCTAGATCGGAAGCTGCGATAAGGTATGCATATGAGCAAAAGCGAGATGACTACTGATAAGAAATTCGAGCAGTTCCAACCCTAAATAAATTACGTTACGCGGTAACAATTTTTTAGATTTGAAAAGTTCCAAGATCGCAACAGATTTTCAAATTATGTTACATGATTTTTTAAAGCTCGAAATTTGATTTTTTTTATATACATGTAAAGTTGATGAAGGCACTAGGTCATCGGATCGAACAAGTGATAGATTGAAAGAAGGAATTTTTTGAAGCTTACATGAGAAAACTCTTAATTAATGAGAAAATTGGAGACAAAGCCACTTTTTTACATTCTTTTTGAGATTTCAGAGAAATTAAATTTAAAATATTGCGGAATTTTCAAGATTTAAGATTAAACAAAAAACCAACTGAAATAAAATTATAGGATTCTGACAAATTGAAGAATTATCTGGAGAGTTTTGATGAGAATACCATATGAGTTTTGAGGAGAATTGTAGTCCTATACAAATAACTATCTTAAGGAATTATGAGGACAATTTATTTATTTATTTGTTGTTAATCAAATGCAGACAAGCTTAAATTACAATAAACATTTAACATCTATTTCAGGCGAGTTCCTGGCATAGTTTGTTCTTTGGTTGTTAATGAAAAATGTATTTCTGTTTCTTAAGGAACGAGTGGATGTAAGAGAATGTTGGACTTGACAAATTGCCGAAACTCTGGGTTGCTTCTGTAATACACTCCATAAATGATGTA